TGTGTGTGTGTGTGTGTGTGTGTGTGTGTGTGTATGATTTCATCACCTCGACCGCCGTCTCTCTCTGTGATTTCCCCACCTCGACCTCGGTTTCGCTCTCCTTTTTGCTGCTGCTGCCTGTGAAAGCGGCTGTACGGGGTGTGTGCACAGATCTTTTGTAATTTTCGCGATATTTCGTAGGGGAGTTTAAGGAGTCAGCACGTCGGACAACTGAATAGGATGTTAATGAAGTACCTTTGCAGTCGTCTCTATTCTACCACTGCATCTCCCTATCTACTGTATGTATTCTTCCCACCGATCCATGATCCATTGAGATTATATCAACCTACCATCGCTCTACGTATTTGGCAGTATTGCTTTTCCATTTGCCTGCCTGCCTACCTGTTCCCTGTGCATCTCTGCGTTATGTATACAATCTATGGACAAATAGTAATAGATCTATTTTCCCTTTTCTCCATCCTCCTTGCCTCCCTGTAACATCGAACTCTTCTACCATCCTGAAGAGTTTCTCTGACAACTGATGGTCAGACAGACAGAAGCGGACAGACGGAAAGAGAGACAGCACGAGAACCTCAAAAAGCTTCTGTCTGTCTGACCATCAGTGCCTTTGCCTGTCTGTCAGTTTCTCTGTCTCGTTCTCTCTCTGTCTGTCTGTCAGTCCCCTGTCTGTCAGTCTCTTTGCCTGTCTGTCAGTTTCTCTCTCTCTCTCTTTCTGTCTGTTTTTATGTCATTCCGTTGTCTGTCTGTCCCTTGTCTGCCAGCCTATTTCTATGTCAGTCCCTTCTCTGTCAGTTTCTTTGTCTGTCAGTCCCTTGTCTGTCAGTTTCTTTGTCTGTCAGTCCCTTGTCTGTCAGTTTCTTTGTCTGTCAGTTTCTTTGTNTTGTCTGTCAGTTTCTTTGTCTGTCAGTCCCTTGTCTGTCAGTTTCTTTGTCTGTCAGTCCCTTGCCTGTCAGTCAATTTCTGTCTGTCTGCTTCTGTCTGTAAAATTCTCTCTTTCTGTCTCTTTCTGTCTCTGTCTGTCTGTCTGTCTGTCTGTCTGTCTGTCTGTCTGTCTGTCTGTCTGTCTGTCCGTCTGTCTGTTCCTTGTCCTCCTGCATTCATTCGCTCACGCACAAGCACTCGTGCGAGCACTCACAAAGAAATAGGCGGATCCTTCCTCCTCCCTCCTCCCTCCTCCCTCCCTATATTATCGCAATCGCTCTTGTCCGCTTGCACCCATTCTCAGGGCATACTCTCCTCACACCAGAACTTTTCCTAAATGCATGTGACTGCAATTACGGCCCAACCTGGATGAATCTGGCCGCAGTCACGTCCAGAGCTAGGTATAAAAGGTCTTACTGTGAGTACGCCCTCACTCACTCACTCACTCACGCACGCACGCACACACGCACGCACCCGGGCTCGGGCTGCTCGGCCATCACAAAGAAGGATGACGAATCATATTTCATCCTTGTCCCTACCTGAGTCCGCCAACTCTCCCTTGTCCTCCTGCTCCATGATCGGTCCAACTTCCCCACCTCGACCTCTGTTTCTTCCTTTTCTTCGTGATTGCACCGCAGAGGCTAATTGCGGTCCAGATGCATCCAGGAAACTCCCAGTGTGAGTATGCCCTCAGTCGCTCCTCCCTTGGGATTAGCCCGTCACGAAGCTCTACCCGTCCTGCCCCGAATTGAATGCACGGTCATGATGGCTATTTTTAGACTGCTGGACGCGTCTCTATATCGTCGCTTAGCCTCCGTTAACCTAAGGATCAGGCGTTTGCCCTCCGTGCACGCTTGTCCTCCTTTCACCCTTCTCCTCCTTTCACCCTTCTCCTCCGCTTACCCTTGTCGTAATTGCACCCTTGTCCTAATTTCACATTTGTCCTTCTTTCACCCTTCTCCTCCTTTCACCCGTGCCCTCCTTTCTCACCCTTGCCCTCCTTTCTCACCCTTGCCCTCCTTTCTCACCCTTGTCCTTTTTTCACCCTTCTCCTCCGCTTACCCTTGTCCTAATTGCACCCTTGTCCTCCGTTCACCCTTGTTCTAATTTCACATTTGTCCTTCTTTCACCCTTCTCCTCCGTTCACCTTGTCCTCCTTTCACCCTTGCCCTCCTTTCTCACCCTTGCCCTCCATTCTCACCATTGTCCTCTTTCACCCTTCTCCTCCGCTTACCCTTGTCCTAATTGCACCCTTGTCCTCCGTTCACCCTTGTCCTAATTTCACATTTGTCCTTCTTTCACCGTTCTCCTCCGTTCACCTTGTCCTCCTTTCACCCTTCTCCTCCGTTCACCCTTGTCCTAATTTCACATTTGTCCTTCTTCCACCCTTCTCCTCCGTTCACCTCGTCCTCCTTTCACCCTTCTCCTCCGTTCACCCTTGCCCTCCGTTCTCACCCTTGTCCTTCTTTCACCCTTGTGACCCTTCTCCTCCGTTCACCATTGTCCTAATTTCAACCTTGTCCTTGTTTCACCCTTCTCTTCCTTCCCCCCTTGTCCTAATCGCATCCTTGTCCCCTTTTCACTCTTGCCCTCCGCTTACCGTAGCATCAGACCCTTGTCCTCATCACGTCCATCCTCGTCGCCAAACCGCCGTTCTCTGCCGTTATCCTCTTGCTCGCAGATGCCTGGGCGAAGCGAGAATCAACGGCGATACGCCTTGCAGCCGAGCCCTCGTCCTCCCTTCATCGTCGTTCTCCGTTCTCCCTTGTCCTAATTGGCAATTGCACCCTTGTCCTCCGTTCATCCTTCGCCTCCCTTTCAGCCTTGTCCGTCTTTCACCCTTCTCCTCCGGTTACCCTTGTACTCCTTTCACCTTAGCATCGTCACCCCCCCCTTGCCCTCCTTAAGTCCACCCTCCTCATAACCCTTCTCCTCCCTTCTCCCCGAGTCGTTAACCTCCTGCTCACAAGCTGCCTCGACGAAGCGGGAAATGGCGATGCGCCCTGAACAGCGATTACCAACCAGAAGGACGACAGGCGCGCTCGCAGAGAACATCCCCATGGCGTTGGTATCTCCGGCTGCGTCTCATGGATCGGGGGACCGTTTGATTGATTAGCTATATCTCGTGCTTGCAGGCGAGCCCCGATCAACACTCTTTTTCGTTTTTTTTTTTTTTTTTTTTTTTTCTTTCTCTTTTTCCCCTCCTCCTCGTCTTTGTATAGAGGGCGACGAGGGACTTGCGATTTTTTATTTTATTTTATTTTATTTTATTTTGGAGACGAGCCCCGATCAACGCTCTTTTTCGGTTTTTTTTTTTTTTTTTTTTTTTTTTTTCCCTTCCTTTTTTCCCCCCCCTCGTCTTTTTATAGAGGGCGACGGACTTGCGATTTTTTATTTTGGAGACTTGCGATTTCATGTGATTTTGTTCTCGTCATCTAGTATCAGGATTCGGACTTCCTTTTTTTTTTTTTTTTTTTTTGTTTGTTTGTTTGAGAGAGAGATGCTGGTAAGAGGAGGCAGCACTAGCGTTCCCCGGGGGCGAGGTCCCACTAGCAAAGAGGATTGGATTGTACACCTGAATTTGGACTTGTTTGTGGAAAGGTGCAGAATGTTGAGATTGACCTGCTTTTCGGCATCTCTGCTCTAAAACACGTCCAGATTCAGGATAACCCCTTTTGCTAGTGGACCTCACCCCGGGAGGCTTCAACAACTCCAGCGCTTATCAACTGAGCTAGGCTAGGCCCGTTGGTCCGCACCTCTGCCCTCGCCATCGCCACTTGTACTCGAGGGTGTTCGGGCCTCACCGCAGTACTCACCAAAATGTGCTTTAAAAATGAGGGTGAATTTTTGGCAAAACGTGGACAGATTCAGAGCCATAATATTTTGTCTTTTGTGCATTTGGTGAGCGGTGGGGCGAGCCCCCAAACACGCTCCTCTTGCTACTCGCGTCCGTTGCAACAGTGAGGGCAACAGTGAGGGCATACTTTTGATGCCGCGTCCTGGATTTCTATTCAAGAGCTGTCAGATTCACTCTCGAAAAGGCCGAGAGTGAGGTCCTGTCTGCACTACTCTGGAAATGTGCAAAACGAGAGTCAATCTTCCTTTAGAATATGGAAAGATACACGGCCATGATTTTTGTCTTTTGTGCACGTCAAGAGTAGTGCAGCTAGGCCCTGAGCCTCGCTGCACTACGCTAGACTCTCGAATTTTCGAGAGTGCATCATGGCTGCACTTACTCTCCATCGGGAAACTCTGGCAACCCGATAGAGAGCTGTCAGAAGGCATGCTACAATGCCACTCTCGAAACGTCGAGAGTCTCCCGCCTGCAAAAACTGGATTTGCAAGTGTCCTTGGGAGTTGCCCGCCGACAGGCTGGCGGCCAGACTTTGTCGCGTAGCGCAGTGGCGCCGCTCTTCAGTCGAGTAGGACGAAGCCCAGGGTTTCGAGAGTTCATCTAGTGTCACAGGTTCGAGAGTAAGTGCAGCGAAGGCGTGTATTTCGAGAGTTTCGCCTCTCTGACAATGCTAGTCGAACTCTCGAAATATTTCGAGAGTCTAGAGTAGTGCAGCGAGGCCCATTGCTGCACTAAGGGCCTCGCTGCACTACTCATGACTCATGAAAAAAGTCAAGAGTGCAACATGAGTGGCCTAGAGTTCCGTCGTGGCTGCACTTACTCTAGATAGTCCCGCTCATGAAGCACTCTTGTCACGCTCTTGTGAATCCTGGAGTGCAGTGCAGCCTGGTTTGTCCATCCAGACCCAGACTCGCTCTAGAAATCCCGCACCCTTTCAAGAAACCATCCGACCACCCTTGCGAAAACCGTGGTTGCAGGCAGGCGTGCAAGAGCGCTCTAGCAAGTCTTCGGCCGCAGCTTTAAAAAAAAAAAAAGAAAAAAGAAAAAAGAAAAAGAGTAGTGCAGCGGCAACAGCGCTTGACCGATGCAAGAGTAACATCTGACAGCTCTTGGCAACAGGTCTTGATGGATGCAAGAGTAACGTCTGA